TCTTATACAAGCTTATTTATTCTGAATTATCATCACATTAATGGCAATAAAGAAGATAATGTTGTTCAGAAACTATCACATTGAACGTATCTCATCAAAAGCAAGCTCATTCAAATTATACTAATTGCAATTATTGATATAAACCAGGTTTGAATACTAACTTTGTAGTGACGTTTTCATCTTCTGATTCATCATCAGAACTTCCATCTTCTTTATCTTTTCGTGGTCGTTTTGGAGTTGGAAAGTACTCACTACCGCTCTCCAGTTCTGCGCCAGGCTCAACTTCAAAAGTGCAGTCTAAGAAACTAGTATCATGGCACTTTTCATCGTCACTTTCATCATCCTGCTCATCTTCATCAGGCTGAACTGCATGCGAAGCTCTCTTGAGTTCTGAATTAAAAGAGTAATGTCAGAATATCAGTTATATTTTTAAACAGTATGCAGTTTGTCAAATGTTGGCAATACATGGGATTTTGCACAAAGGTATAAAATTGTTTGCCATACAGTAACTCATGCCAATGGACATTTTGTGTTATTTTCAATAATCACCTGATTGTAAAAGATTGACAGTTCTTCTTGACTCTTCCAGGCGACTTTGAAAATCTATGACTTTGTTGTTCAATAAACGGTTTTTTTCCAGCAGGCTCGAACATCCTGTGCATGTTTCTGGATCGGTTTGCATGAATGAATCCTACGGTAAACACACAAGTAATACTCAACTTCGAGTTTGTTATKTTGACAGAAATTCACACACAYACACGAAAACTAAGTTCCGCTTTTTTTACTATGCTCGACAATCAAAAGGAAATAATAGTACCTTGGTCTTTACACAACTCGCCTCAGAGATCTCTGAGGTGACAGCTACGGACAGACAATCTTGAACTTCAGCTGCATCCTCGTTGCTCGGTAAAGTTTCGTTATCAGTTTCACTCAATAGCGATTCTACAACCTGGAAGCAGTAAGTTTGGRTGTAAACAGGCAAGTCTGAAAACATTTGGAAAACTAAGCACGACAGGTCAACRACTCAAGTTTTTCTCACCTTTCTTCGCTTTGTAGGAGATATGGCGACAGTAGAGGCAAGCTTACTCTCTTTTGATRGGCTTACAACAGTGGGACAAACACAGATCCCGATGTCATCTGTTTTCAACTYTTTAATTGCGGTTGGCAGCAGATCATAACGGCGTTCAAAGTCTGCTTCTAAAAAATGGTCACTACAAACCCGAGCGCTTTTAGTTGGACGCCAAACCGACCAGTTCTTGCTAGTAGCCACGAAGTTCACCCATCTCTGCCTTCGTTCTTTTGTTCTTTGGCTTCGTTTCGTGGATCGTCTTCGAACGGAATTCGAAACAGAGAAATCCCGGTACCCTTCTTTCCCTCGTTATTACATCCCTCCACGGAACAGCGAAAAACCATTGTGAAAAAGATATCATGAAATATAGAACTTTGTGTAACTTTTAGACTTTTTTTAGCATTTGAGCGCAAACATCTAGCAGACGAATATATGAAGGTGATAAACAGGGGTCCCGGATTAAAAATCTATTGCGCATGCCTCGCAACCTCTCTTGACGTCACAAACACTTTTCGTACCCAGGGATTTTTTACACTTCCTATTTGGCACAGGAAGCCGTAATACCAATCTTCAAAATTAAATATCTCGGCCCCGTTTTATCCGATCGCACTATAAAACACCTCATTTTAACCGTTAGACCCCGAAAAATCGATCGAAATTTGTGTCATTTTAGGGGTTATAAGCACTTTAATTTGCATGATAAGGCCAATTGGTATCATTTTCTGTAATTATTTGTGTACTTTTTATGAAAAGAGGTCATGTGCAGAATGATTGACTATTCTCATTGCTGGAATGGACTCGAAATAAGGCCTTGCGGGCGGGTTTATCGATAAATACTCATCTGGGAATAACCTTGCACAATGGTATGTCCCCAGGGACTGGTAATTAACTATATAAGACCTTGCAAACCAGAATTAGGCGTCCTTTCGCCTCGACCGCCGAAGACGCAG